TCAGTATAATATTCTCAAACCACTGCCAGTTGCAGTGGCTCAGTCTCTAAGTCTAGTTCTAGTATAGCACGTCAGCCTTATGCATAGCAGCACCTTTTGTCAGTAGTAGTCTTTAGCAGAACTCCTGATCCTCAGTTGTCAGGTCCCTTAACACATCTTGATCTACATGTGAAAGAGCATCTGCTTTACCTAAATGGGTACCAGGGATGTGGCAAAGTTGGTAATTAAACATGGACAGATACAGGGCCCATCGTGCTTGTTGAGGATTTAATTTCTGGGGATCTTTGAAATAGGTAAGATTCATATGATCTGTTAATACCTCCACTGGTTCAGTGCATCCCTCAATGTAGTATTGCCAGGCTTTGAAACATCTGATGATAGCCAAGAGTTCTCAATCATAGATTTCATACTGCTGTTCTATGGGAGAGAAGGACTGGGATAGGAATGCACAAGGATGCCATCATCCATCAGGTTGTTTCTGTGATAGAATACCACCAGAGCCTTTCAGAGAAGCGTTGGATTCTATTTGGAAAGGTTTGGTAACATCTGGTTGAACTAGGAGTGGCTGTGTCTTGAAACATTCTTTGAGTTGATTGATGGCTCTATCATGATCATCTGTACAGCTCCATTTGACACCTTTTACTAGAAGATCAAATAGCAGGTGTGCAATTTTGGAATATCCTGGAATGAACCTTTGGTAGAAGTTAGCAAAGCCCAGGAACCATTGTAACGCCTTGACACTGTCAATCTTTGGCCAATTGAGTACTGCTGCTACCTTGTCTTCTGCCATTCCAATATATCCTGGTTGGAGAATGAATCCCAAAAATTCAACTTCTCATACATCAAAGAAAAATTTCTCTGGTTTGAGAAAGAGGTCTGATTCCTTCAAACATTGGATAACTACTTGAGTGTGTTGTTGGTGTTCCGTTGATGCGACCTCGGGAAACCTAACCCTAACTTGGGGGTGCAAAGTAAAGGGTGAGTTTCTGTTTCTCGGGGAAGCTGATGTTGGTGAGGGCTTGTAGTTGTGATAGCTTGCTCAAACGGCGACGACTTCACTAGATTTTCTTGGGACGGTGTCACAATACTGTTTTGGACCGTCCAAACACTCTGACTTCTTGTAGAAGCAGAGGGAAGGTAAGAGGGGAACTAGCTCAATGACCTGAATGCGAAGTACGATTTGAGCGCAGATGCACGGGTCTCATTTGAAGGTCAAGCACAAGAACAGAACTTTGAAGTACTTAGTTGTACGTGCAGGTGTTCCTCAAAGGGGGTGTACTGGTAGGGGACAAAGTTCAAAGGTTGTAGGTGTAGTTCAAAGGTCACAGTTGTAGTTTGGAGGATCGTAGTTGTAGTTTGTAGGGAGATGCAACACTTCAAAAGGGTTTGAAGCCGGACTGAGCTCTGCTGAGTGGGAGATGTGATTCTGTGTGAGTCTCGCTACTAGGGGCCAAGTACTGCGTTACAACCATGCAAAACCACTCTTAAATATCCTTCATCCTGCTGAATCTCCTGAGTCACTGCCTCCACTGCCCTGACCATGCCAAATGATCCCGATATCCTTCCTACTCCCACCTGACGTCTCCATCAGTTTCTGATTCCTGTCCAATGCGCTATTCCTGCTAGTCTCCGAGGCCCGACTGTTGCAAGTCTTAGCATCGCAACCCAAGCACATCAACTTAAAGGTTTACCCTACAGCCCTGTATCATATGTCTCAATCTCTGGATGATGGGGTTTTGTCTTCAAAGTCGAGCCCCCAGAATAAAGCTGCCACCAAAAGATCCCAATCAGATTATTGTGAGATCGCAAAACTTCGAAGATGTCAAAGGGTGGGCTTTGCTCGAAGGCATTTTTGTGTCGAGGTATCGCAGTCATCCCCAAAGGCGGAAGCTTCAAGCGCTTCGAATGTTGAGTATGACTTGAGGCACACCCATGCGCTACATGGGCCTATCACCATAGAGTTGGTAGAATAGATGAGAATGTTATCAATGTAGATTACTAACCATCCTTCTAGAAGCAGATCTGCAAAAATTCCATCTATCATAGCTTGGAAGATGGTCAGGGAATTTGTCATTCCAAAGAACATGACTGTTGGTTTGAATAATCCGCATGGTGTGATGAATGCTCCCTTCCATTCATCACCTTCTTTAATACATACATTGTTATACCCTGCACATAGGTCAAGTTTGGTGAAGATGGTTGGTTTGGCAGAGGCAACACAGTCTAACAGATCTTCTACACGTGGGATGGGATAGTGTCAAGGTATTGCCCTTGATCCTAACCCTAACTATAACCCCAGTCACTCACTTGTAGTGTTTGGAAGTTGACAAGAGGTAATCTTTGTAGATTGTCTTGGGAGTTGTTAACTCAGAGAAAGAGCAGAGTGAAGTAGACAAGGGGTGTTTGCTAAGAACAGACTGCCTCTCTATGCTGCATTGTTCTGGTATTTATACATGAGGGACCAGATCCCTGATGCTACTGGTAGTACACCTAACACCTAGGCTGACTGATGCTTGCAATATGCTATTGGCTATCTAGGAATACCTAGCACATAAACCATCGCCCTGTTCTTGTGTTCAGTCAGCAGTCTTCTTAGTGATGATCACCTGAATGACTGTGTGTGTTTCTTGTACAAATGGGGAAATCTTGTGTGATCGTATGATAGCCCATTTGCCATGCTTCTGATAAGCTGAACACCTGACTAGTAAAATGTCACCATGCATTATGCTATCCTTATCTAGGTAGATATCTAATTGGATAAGATATAGATCATCTAGAACTCGAGATAAGATAGATGCCATGAAATTCTGTGACAGATAGGTGTTCTTGATGGTAGCATCATTGAGCTTCCTATAATCTTGGCATGGGCATAAGTCCCCTGATTTCTTGTTGACAAAGAAAAATAGTGACGCTGATGCAACCTTGGGAAACCTAACCCTAACTTGGGGGTGCGAAGAAAAGG